ACAGTTAGACTTCGAGCTCAAGCTGAAAGGCAGGTTACTCAAAGATAGCAAGAACCTGTTGAACAGCACAAAGCCAGAGTTCAGTCAGAATCATCAAGGCAAGACAACAAGAAACTTCTGAACAATGTCAAACCAGACTTCAAGCACAAAAATTAAGACAAATAACCTACAGAGAGCAAAAAACAGAGGAGCAACATGATGCATGACTTCAGGCTCAAACACGATCTAATTTCAAATAAAGCTTTGTTTGATTAAATGCTTTTTTATTTCTCGCATCACAGCTTTTGTCTACTTACTGAATAACTTGCTGAAAAAATACTGATCTATACATTTCAAATCTAAATTTTTACCGTGCAATGCCGGGTAACTCAGCTAGTAACTGATAAAGAACATGCTAGTCAAACAGGAAGAAAAGGAAGTAAGCTGGCTACATGGGCTTTATTGAGTGATTGGATCACAAAAGATGTCCAGTGACACCTAGCTATCCAACAAGAACGAACTGACCAATGAGACAGAAGCTACATTACAACTAGCACATAAGATGTCATAGTCTTAAAAGATTATGGGAGCAAATCACAGAGTATGGCTTTTTAAAAGATTATGTGAGAAAATCACAGAGTATGGCTGAGATGGTCGCCTGTAATACCCAACAATGAGTCTCAGTTTTGATAATTAAGGTGGAAGATTTTAACACCCATCCTGAAGCACTTTATTCTTCTCGAGTTCTGTATCCAATAAAACATTGGAAAAAAGGACCAAAATCTGTGAACCACAGATCCAGTTGTGCAAACAACACAGTCTTGGGACTCATTCAATTAAAGGAATACAGAGGATATACTGTCAAGATAGTGAATATAAAAAAAGGAGCATATATTCTCTCTGTAACAAATAGCAATGAAAGCATACACAAGTAAGTAATGTGTCTACATGTTCCACTGTACCTGATTTCTTTATCTAAAAATAGTTACATTAAAACTAATCTTCAGAAACAGATAACTAGTTTGTACTCAGACTGTAGTAAAATGTATGAACTGTGGTACTGTCTGCAATACCTTGTCAGACCTTAAACCCTTAAGAAGGTTTACCTTAAGTAACAGATCTAAAGTTAAATCCCAAGTGGAATAAAAATTTCTTGAAAGGAAGAGCCAATTGAATTCTCAGAATCAGCACATTCCCTGAAAATGGCTAAAACATGTTCAATTAGAGGTTAATAAGCTTCTACATGCAGTGCACTGGTCCTTGCACATTATTACCAAGAACTTCTGAGTGAAAGTAAAGTGGATATTAATATATCAGCCACATCATATCCACTATATATCTGGTACTAATGAAGCCTTTAACCCAATAATAGGGCTTGTCAGGCATGTTACACATAGCTTAGCAGTAGTTTTTTTTTGCATTATAGCATCACCAAAAAAGAAAGAGGCAAAAGAAAAAAAAAAGACTGTTTAAAAATGTTTAGTAGGTGATATTTTAAATACATATTTACTGTTTAGCAACTGGTAAAGAAAAGAGTTGACTCATCATGTCAAACTATAGTTAATAAAAAAATATGCCTAAAACTAAAATTAAAATCACCTACCTTTTGCCTATCCAATACAAAATAGTATACAAAATCATTTTCAAACAACAGTTAATAAAATATATGTCTAAAAGTAAAACCAACTATTTGATATCAAATAGTGCAAAAATCATATCAAACAAAAGTTAATAAAAATAATTTAAGAGAAAAACCATGCATCAAACAATTAATGTGAAAATGATGTAAAACATTTAGTATTATATATGCCTAAAACTACTGGTGTATCACAAATAGGTTGATGCAACTCAAATATATCAGATACTGAAATAGTCTTAGCTCAAGTCTACTATTAGTAGTACTAGTACTAACTAGAGATAGAATAATTCGTTGTGACTAATAGTGACTACCATAATTAAGTATTAATATTACAGTATCAATTATACTACTACTAGAATAGCATAAGTAATAGTAGTATGGACTACGTACAACTTACAAGTACTTGTAAGTAGTAGTTGTACAAGATAACGTGACCTATTTGGTATTCTCTGTATCGTGAACGTTAACTTTAGTTTAACTTCATTACGTTTAATTAAACATTTAAAGCTAAGTTCTTCAGTTAGTTTTCTTCTAACATTGTAATAAAAGCCTAATTAAAAATTCGGCTTGTGATCATGATGGTGGAAAAAATATTATAAAACCTAATATTAAAAGAGCAGAAGGCTCAACAATCGAAAGACCCAATGCCATTTGATTTTGACGTATATTCAACTTTACAAGTTATAGTTCTAGTTTAGCTTTGAGTTCTTATGTTCAGTCTGCTTCAATTTCAAAATTCAGTGAGGGCGATTGAAATGAATTTTTTTGTTGTTCTTTAAAACTAAATTTGAAAATATGCTTTATATTTATTTAAATTACAGGAACTGTACAATAATAAAAAAAACCTTAATAAAACGAATACACAAACCTTTAATCTTTACATAGCCCTTCTCAGTAGATCACTGCACCCGCGACATCTAATTATGTTATAACTTCTACTAGAAGAGTTGCTAAAATCTTCAACTAAAATAAATTTAATAATAACTGGTCTTAAATTAGGAGAAACAGACAGACCACAAAATGCTTCTATGACCACTCTGCCTATATTCATTACCAGGTCGTATTCTTAGTTTCACTTCAATAAAATGGGTAGCTTGCATTGATCGGAAGTTGATATTAATTTGGTCCTCAGTCCGCTATGTTAACGGTGTTTTCGGTCCATATGAGAATTTGAGGAAAGTTAGGGAAGATAGCTATAGTTTTAAATCTCTGTAGTGTAATAAATGTTTAGTCTTGTATTAAAGTATGTAAGATTAGTACAAAGAAACTTAGCAAGTGAAAGTCATCTATATTCTATAGCAACTACGTTAATTATGTGATCCATACTGTGCTAAGAGATTTTACTTTTCGCCTCCCACTAGCACACTTACAGGTAACATCTTAATGCATTACTACTGCATTGTTTATTGAAACGATGTACAGTACTGTGCAAACGTGTTAGGATAAAGTCATAAATTAGACTTCAGGCTACTTTAAAAGAAGAATGGAAGGTAAATCACAGGTGAAACATCAAAACTTTATTAATCTTCATATTTATTACAACAGAAACTCAGTGAAAGTGTATGAGTTCAGCAAACAGTTAATATTTTGTGTGTCCCCCTTTTACTATAAATACTGCAGACAGTCTTTCAGGCATTGTTGCAACATACTTAATCAAAGCGTCCTTTGGAATTTTACTCCAAATGTCTCTAATACACTCACATAAAATTTATTTTTAAGTAACTTTTGATTTGTCAAGTTTGGTCTATCAAATACCAAATCTGTTCAGTTGGGTTGATATCGGGCTCTGTGTGGGCCATTGCATCATATGAATGACTCCAGCAGCTTCTTTCTTAGCTAAGTAATTTCTGCATAGGTTGGATGAATGTTTGGGGTCATTGCCTTCTTGGTAGTAGAATTCTTTACCAATACTACGCAAACCACTGGGCATACCATGATAGGTTCAGTATCTGGTGGTACTTACGCTGGTCAATTATTCCATCTAATTTGCAAATATCTCCTGTCACCTCAGCAGAACCCCCACAAACCATCACGCTGCCTTCCCCATGCTTCATGTTAGGTGCTATGCATTGAGATAAGTATCTTTAACCTTTCTTCTGCCGGACGTACAACCTACGCTTTGAACCAAGTATCTCAAACTTGGACTCATCCATCCATAACACCTTTTCCAATCATCAACAGTCCAGTTTTTGTTCTTTTTAGCAAATTTCAGTCTCTTTACAATATTTGGAGATCGAAGTAAAGGTTTTTAAACTGCTACACCACTAACTATTCCATTCTTGTTGAGTCTTCTTGATACTGTAGATCTAGAAACTTTTCTGTCATTTGATACATGATCGTTTATCTCATACTTGAGATTAGTGGCAGTTTTCCATCTGTCCCGAAGGCTGCATAAACGAAGATACTTAACATCAGTATCAGTGAGTTTGTGTGTTCTGCCTTTTCCTTTCTTATTTTCAAATTTACCTGTCTCGGTTTCACGATCTAGGGTGCACTTGACAATGTTTGTGGAGCATTTCAAGTCTGCAGCAATTTGTTGGTGAGTCCAACCAGCATCACGTAAAACTTTTATGCAAACTCTCTGCTCTACTGACAATTCTCTACGCTTTTTTGCGCCGTGGCATGACAACAAGACTTAATATATAGTGTTAAAGACACTAAAGGTATATTTATGGAGTGCTATTAAATTGATTTCTTCTAGCATATATCGGTAGCATATGCCAGCTCCTTGCTAGCTTCTTTCTATATAGTTAAGCCACTGCATGGGGTACCATAACAGTTATTTCAGACCCTAAATTTGATCAGTATGTTCATTCAAGCAGAACCCTTATGGCATGCCCTTAGTAAAAGTATATGGGAATTCTAAATAATGATAAGTATTCTCACCCTGGCTTATTCAATTTTCAACAGGGATCGATGAAACATTACCATAGTGTTGAAATTTACATTCTGTAATGGCCAATATATCAACCAGTGGATACATCTCAGCCCATTTGTGAAGTAGTCAATCATGATGAGTATGTACTGACAACCTTTTTCAGTTTTCAGAATTAGACTGGCAATATCCAGGGCTATCCCCTGTAGAAGAGATCTAATAATTCTCTATTGGAGTTTACCATGTCTCAAACATTCAATATTCACACTAGTGCTGAAGATCTTAACTTGAATGCAGCCAGAACAACTGATGTTGAATGTTAGAACAAGTGTGACCAGTATCTTGGTGTCATTTAGTCTTTGTGTTAGGCAAAGTCTGGAGAATCTCTTGCTATAGATCTCCATGGACCATTAGCTGTAGCAAGGTCAGATTACCATATCATGTAAAGCACACCTTCCTGCATTTGTAATCAACCCTACAAATGTCACAATTTATACGCATCCATGCTACACTCCTCCATTATTGTTGCTCGATATTTTCCTTGGTGCATGGCAAGTAACAGGATGCTAGGTGTGTGTCCTTCAGTTGTTCTTCTCAGATCTCCTGAAGTGTTAACCACATATGAACTGTGTAGAGCAATATTTACTAGAATTCCGAATTTACTAAAAGTATCATCACGAAATTTCATGTCTTTTAGTAAACATAACAAGTATATTGTATACAAAAAATCAATAAAAATTTATGATAAAGTAATATTTCTAAAAATTTGTCTGTGAATTTATTTAATCAGTCTGAATCAGTCTAGTCTAAGTGCAAAATGATGTTTATAGTAAGAACTTTTTTATATTATAGTTTCACACGTCATTTGAAAACCTCTAGAGAGTCTAGATTCTCCAAAATAAATATTTATATCTAGAAATTAAACCAGAGCAAACATTTTTGGTCATAAAATCTGAAACGCTAAACTATACCTAACTACTTTGTACCAAATTCTAAAGTATAGACTAACTTATCTCTACAAATATATAATATAAGAAACTAGGTTTCTAACATTAGATGCCCACAGACATGCCGCCGAGTCACTGGGGGCAAGTATAAAGTGTGTTACATATCTGCTTGTTTGTTAATTTCCGGTAGAAATACCTTCCGAGGAACTTCAGCGATAGAAGTCCTTTCTTGATTAAACCAGTTTATTCTTCCTCGACACAAACTTTTAGTACACAGTAATTCCACAGTCAGTACGTTACTCGTCACTTTAAACTTAACAACTTTTATAATACACGCTATAAATCACAGCGATTCACAATCTCGATAACATCACTCTCTACGAGTGCAAAACACACACTAGCTCGAAACAGAATCGTAAATTACCCGAAAAAAAACGTAACTACTGTTCGCTTTATCATACATTCAATCCCACTGGCTTTTCTCGCCAGGCTTACATACTAACAAAGAGGCTTCTCCAAAATTCGCGGGGTTCTCTGATAATTCGAGAAACTCAGTCACGCATGCTCCCAGCGTCACGTGACTTCCGCTGTTGTAACACTGCCCCTTCCTTAGTATTGTTCGTCCCGAACAATAGTCACTTACATTAAACCAATATATAATTAAC